GATTTTTCTATGTACCTTAAAGTACCATCAAAGCTTGTGAAAGCTGCAACACTGGGGTGGATGGAGTGTCCCACAGGAGCACAGGGAGGCCCTCCACGTGTTTGGCAGTGAACCCAGAAGGGGACTGGAAGTACTTCCAGTCCCCTTCTGGGTCCATCGGGGAGCACACTGGGCCCCTCCCTCTGCCCTCCTGGCTCAGTGATTGGCTGCAAGGGGGACCCTGGGTGCAACCCCCTCCAGACCTAGGAGGCAGCAGTCATCAGGCTAGGAGAATGTGTGTGTGGGGGGGTAAGGTAGCATGTTCCCCAGCAGACCTGGAAGTGGACCAAAAGTGCTTCTGGTCCACTTCTGGGTCTGCTGCTGAGTGCTCTGGGGAGCCCCTCGTGCTTCTGTGGGACACTCCATGTGCCCCAGCATTGCAGCATTCATGAGCTACCTGGTACCTAGAGGTATGTAGAAAAAACATTTAAAGATGTGTCTATGTCCAAATTGCCAAATCTTTCCAAATCTCTCCAAAATAATTTGGAGGGTTCTGATTCAATTTGGAAAGATTAAAGGGTCCTCTGATTCAATTCAGATTTGGAGAGTTGGCTGCCGAATCAGGCCGAATCTCTGCCGAATCAAATCAGGGACCAAAGCTTTGCACAGCCTTAATATTAGTTGTTTTTATTATGATCATGTAGTACCACTTAGATTACCCCCACTATGCCATACCAACCCCTCTAAAAATGAATTTGAAATCATGGTCTCTGCCCCAAAGAGCTTACATCTGTAGAACAGGATGAAATTCAGCAAGTAGATATAGCAAAGACAGGAGAAACTAAAGATTTCAACCCCAAATAAAAGAGGTATATCTTGAAAATCATTAATTTACACTTAATATAAATGAAATACTTTGGAAGTAATAAAAGGCTTCATTTTAGAAGGAAGAATTTTTCAGAATTGCCAATGCTTCTTTCCCATCTAATGTGTTTTTTCCTGATTCCTATTTCCATTGCTCTGAATGGGAAGGTGTCTTGAGCAACTGGCTACAATGCAAACTCTAAAAATGCAAACAGGAAGGGATAGAATGGAAACAGAGGCCACTTGAGACTGTTCTTTATTAGCAGAAAAAGAACAGTACTTGTGTTTCTTTTTCTGAATTTTCTGTCTACCCTTTCAACCGTTTATTTCTTAAAGTATAATTCAAAGGAGCCCATGATTTTATAGCTTACTGAGTGAATTATCAAGAAATATCCAGCATGCCTTTCCTTGACTGTTGTGAAATTTGTATTCCAATCAATGTCAGGGAACTTGAAATCCCTCCATATCAATATTATAACCATTTTACAGGCATCCCTTTGCTGTCTCAACATTTCCTGATCTGCCTTATTCTGCCCTGGAGGTCTATAATAAGTTGCCTATGAACATTGTTTTACAAGTTTAACTTTCACCTCAATTCTAACTGCCTTTGTTGTAGTAACCAAGCCACACATATAATTTCTTCTCTTCAGACACTGTTCTTCATCACTTATATTATTGTACTACCACTTGTCAAGTTACAGCTCACATTTCTGCAGAGTCCATATCCTGGAAATTGAAAAATCCTTGTTGGCTTTGTAATATGAGCTGAAGCTTCGTTAGTATAATAAACCAGCTTCCTCTTTAAAGTTGTAGTCATGCTATTTTGTTTTTATTTTTTTATTTGAAGTCTCTTTCTTTAAGAACAGTTTATTTTCAACTCATTTGTTCCAGGCTTCATGTTATATGTTGGGGATATGTCTTTTATCATTTATTTTAGATATCCCAGAAATACAGAATACAGGGTTGAACTTGAAAGGTCATTTGGTCAATCCGTCTCTTGAGGGTGGGATTCACTGTATCTAAAACTGACTGCCTCCTGCCACTGCTTGCCTCCCCTCCTCACTGCCTAGTCTTCTCACTGTTTTTCCAGCCACTTGCACCCCTGTCTCTGCTTTCCCTTCCACAATGGTGAGGGGAGAGGGGAAGGTGAGGGCAATTTTAAATGGTCCTCCCAAAATTCGAATCCATATAAATTCAAAGCTCTCTTTATTTAAGCAAATACAGTAAATACAAATTCCTTCACATAGCAAGGTGAGATTTATTTTATTTTCTTCATTTTGTGCATGTCTTAGAAATGACTTAGATCTCTTTTCTGGTTAATTTCTGTATTCAGATTTTATTAGTTACAATTATTTTACCATATTCAGCAATGACAGCTGTTAGCTTTTCCATAGTTATTTTAAGGCTTTCATTAATTAATGTTTTAATGTACTTCCAGTTCCTCAGATAAAAGTTCCAGTATATTATTATATTAAATGTATTTCTGGCGGTCTAAATGGGAAGACATCACCATACTGATTCTCAACACTTCTATCTATGCACTGCCTACTGCAGTGTCTCAGAAGTACCATGTTTTCAGAAGTGATCTTCCAGTGGATAATATAAAAACACTGTGTTCCTCTGCCAAATACACAAATGCATTTGGGAGGTATTTAATGAGAAGACAGCACAAGGAGCTAAATTGGGTATTTTATTATTTTGCTACTACTGGTTTTAGAATACATAATAGAGGATAAGATACTGACCTCATTGCTAAATTATTGTAGTGATTTCAGTGTATTATTTTTTTCTATATCAGTGAAACTCAGATAACACTTTTCCCTGAAATAAGAGGATACCAAGAACAGAGAAATGAGACAGTCTTTCGTGGATAATAAAAAACACATATGCTTTTAATTAATTTTAATTCACTTTGTTTTCTTGGTTTCATTTGTATGTATTTTAAAATGAGATATTTTGAATTTTTAAAGGTTTGATTGTTTGGTTATAAAAGACGGTAGCTCAGTCTTGAATTACTTCTGCATGTAAAGATTTTAGCCACCTCAAAGTGCTTGAAATACATGCCTTAATGCTCAAAACTAATGAAATATAGGCATTTTGTTACTCACCACAGAAATGCAGCCATCTCTGTAGTGTGCATATATCTCTATTATAGTGCAGCGCAGTGTGATTTGGGATGGACAGTAAAAGGAAATATTGTATGTTGGGCACATCTAAATGTTGCCCTATGGCAATGTAGTGATGCGTGACTTTGCCATACACTACGATGATGTAGTAATTGCACGTGTCTACATGTGCTTGCCAACTATGTCGCCATAGCAGTGCATTCCCTGGGTATTCTGCACTGCTACAGCGATGTAGTGGTGAAATTTAACCATGTGTCATGTAGCAAAACCCCCAGTTTTGTTTAGTATTTTGTATAGGCAACCCCTGCTTAGCGCTCTTAATTGGTTCCTGAAAAACTGAGCATTAAGGGAAACGAGTGTTAAGCAAAACCAAAAGTACTTGACAGCCCAAGATGGTGACCGCAATTGTTTTTAATGACCCAAGAAGGTGACCACGAGCATTATAGCGAAACTCACTGAGTGCTAAGTGAAATCAGGTATCAATTTCAAATGAACGCTATAATGAAATAGCACTAAGTGAAACAGCGTTAAGCAGGGACTGCCTGTACATAGAAATACATTCCCTTCCCTTCCCCAACCATTTCTGACTTTCTCTTTGCCTCTCTATTCCTTACAAGTAGTTATTATAAGACATAGTGAAGATAAGACATAGAATAAGCTGTTTAATTTCACTATTGTAACGAGCCCCTTTTATATTGTTCATATATCATTGTAAATAGTATTCTGTTATTTTGGTATTGATTTTTACTGTTTTATATTGTGTGATCACTATTCAATTTTTACTGTCTTATATTGCTATTATATGATTCAAGCCTATTTTTGTAAGTTAGCCAAATGAAATGTCAAGTCTCCATCTTGTGTCCTATGCCCGAGCAGATCCTATTGTAATTGGGTTGTAACTGTGACTCATACCTACCCCTCCTATGTAAATTGGTTCCCTGAATGAATGAGAGAGAATGACAGTGCTTGAGACATAATGGTAATAGGCCTAAAAATAGCTCCTACTGAATGACTGGACCATCAGCTTAATGACCCTACCACCACCTTGCATTGACTCTCCCTGAAACCACAGACCTACTCCCAGAACCAGAGACAAAACCTAACATTTGAAAGATAAAGACCCTCCAAGAAACCAGCAACATGGAAACAGGACAGAACAGAAACCAGCAACTCCACAATTGTACTACACCAGACAATGAGGACACCTGGAACTGGTGATATATAATGTCAAGTATTATGCCAAAGAGCATAAACATGTACATACAGCACTGTCAAAATCTTTATACAGTCATCTAGGCATATGTATTAATGTTTTAGTTCTGTTAGAGCTATAGTATAAATAATCTTCTCTTGGAAGACAGCATACACTTAAACACAGTGAGTCAAATAAAAATGTTTTAAATATTTTTTTCCTCCCATAAAGATCAATGGAAGTTTTGGGCTTCTGCAATTAGGGACTTGCATCAAATCATATTGTAAGGGGAAGAAGTGTGTCCTCCACTGAATGGGCTCAAAGAAAGACCTGTCCATTCATACCCTTCTTTCATGGTATCATGTTTCCTAAATCCATTCTTCAGTTTATGTGTGTGTATCAATATATAATGGAGGCCCTGGGTATTAAAAGGTGTGGCAAATAATGCCACAGAATGGCTAACTTGGGCCTCTACTCATCCTTCTCTGAGTGCAAAGTCTGATTCTCATAGAGTGCCATTAATATCTCTTCAGAGGATCAAAGAGAAGGGAAGACCAAACTCCTTCCATGTTTTCCCCCATGCAAATTGGCTTGTTTGTACTCTGAAGTAGTTGCAAATGAAGAAAGGACAATTATGTTCCAAATATTTAATGTTTTGTAAATATAGTCAAAGGTTTGTTTTACACGTTATCAAAACAACTTAAAAAACCCAAACCAAAACAAAAAAACCCAGCCAGAACACAATACCTCATATCCTTATCTTATCTACTTCAGTGCTGAATTGTCTAGAATTGCTGTTCAGATGAACAGGAACTGTAAGTTTTTCTTGCCAGGAACTTTATTGAGTAAATTAATTGGTGGTCTATTAGCTATCTTTCTCATCAACAAAGTTTCCATACTGTTTGAAGTTCATTCCATCCAAATTCTCTAAAGGTCATTGATCTTTATTCTAAAAGTAATACATTTATATATAAAAGTCTTACTCTTTTTAGGCTGAAACCTTTTTCCTACACATTAAGGATAATAGTCTTTATAACACAATCTAAAGCTTTATTGCATAGTCTTAGCTCTAGTTTTATCTGAAGGCATAGCATTTATATTTAATGCTAAAATGTTCCTTCTAGAAATATCACTAGCATGTAATGACATCTCTCTTCTGATTTAAAGATAACCCTCCTGGGCATGCTTGAGTGAATTTGGAAAAAAAGTTTCTGTTTGTTTGGACTACTGCGGTTACGTTTTAGGATAATAAAAGAGAAAGAATGTACAA